GATTCAAATAAACCAACTAGAGAGATCTCAATTTAGACTATGTACTAAATGGTATTAAAGAATTATTAATTTGGTGAGGGATGATGATATATTTATAGTTATGTAAGAAAATGACTTATTTAGAGATATATACAAAAGAATTTGGGATAAATAAAATGATGTTGAGATTTGCTTTATGTTACTACAGAAAAAAAAAAGATAAATTTAAGCAAGTAAGTATGGCAAAATGTTGATAACTTCAGGCCATGCATGGTAGTGAACATCTGTAATCCCAGCTACCTGAGAGGCTGAAGCAGGAGGTCAAAAATTCAAGCCCAGCCAGAGCAAAGCCCTGTCTGACAATAAAAAGTAAAACAGAGCTGGACTTGTAGCTCAATGCAAAGGCCCTGAGTACTCCCTCTCAAAAAAAGTTGAATGCTTTAGAATCTGGAGGATTTATACTGTTTTCTCTACCATTATGTAGTCTTAAAACTGATAATAAAAAGTTAGAATATTTATAAAGATATCTACAAAATACTTTTATTCTTATATTAACCTTTATGACAATATATTATTGTTTGTTTGCTTGTCTACATTAGTATTTCTCAGAATATTAATGTCACGTTTAAATTGTCCAATCTGTTGCAGATCATGATTTTTTTTTTAAATACAGTAAAAATCAGTTTCAAAAAAAGCAAAATGGTGTGGGAGCATACAAATATAACCATAAAAGATTTTGTTATTAAAGTCAACAAGTATAAATTACAGTTCACTTAACAGACCCAATGCAAGCAAATATAGAAAAAAAAATTTTTTAAATATTCATTCAAAATCAAATAGTAATCAATTACTGTAGTCTTGCTGTTATGCTTTTGTTTGTTCTTTAGTCATACTTAAAATTTTGAATAGTAACGTGGGTGTGCTTTTTGCACGTTAACTTGAAGACACTGTGATGTGTTAACTTCAGTCGGGTTGATAATAGTATTCCTTACAGGGGTTATAGGTACCTAAACTGGTTTTACTTATAGCCACTGGTTTCTGCTTTAATTATTTGTGTTATTCAAGGGTTGTTAGAAAATTCAGTGATGAAATTTTGCAGAAATGGAAAGTTAGTGGATACTCTGAAATACTTGCTAAAATTTTCATATAAAGAATAAAAAGAGGACCGGGGATTTGGTTTAGTGGTTCCTCCACCTGCCTTGCAAGAGCAAGGTCCAGAGTTCAATCCCCGGTACCAAAAAACAAAAATAAAATAAAAAGACTGCCTCTTTAAATACATTATCTCTTAATTTGTGGAATTTGTTATTTTTCTCATGCTCTGTGTTATATATTCATTCATATATGATGACTTTGGTTTTTCATGTTATTTTAGGTTAATCTATGATATACCTTTGTTTTTTGGATTTGGTTTTGATTGTTTTGTTTTGGTTTTTGAGATAGAGTCTCACTGTGTAGCCCAGGCTGGCCTCAAACTTGCAGCAATCCTCCTACCTCAGCCTCCCAAGTGCAGAGATTACAGGTGTGAGCCACCATGCCTGGCTTGCCTTTGTTTTATAGACATTACCTTTCCTGATGAGTGTTTCAAAGTTCTTCTTTTCTCTTTCCTAAGGAAATCTTAGTTTGGACTAGAGTTTCAAAAAACAATCAATATAGATTCCATTGTGCTCTTTTGGTTCCTTTTTATGTCAGTAGTCTGAGGTCTTTTTCCATATATATTAACTTGTACTTGCTTACATTGCATCGGTTAAGTTTCTCTGTGTTGCTGAAATCTCACAAATCTTTCTCACTAACTTATATTAATTCAGTTTTTTCAATAGAAAGAAACAAATCAAAGATAGTCCCTCACAGAGATCATGCTGCATTCCCCTCAGTAGGTTCCAGGGACCAACCCCTTCTAGTGGATCTCCCAGCTTATCCAGTATAGAAGTGAACTGGTTTTCTCTTATACATACACGAAATACTATCCACTTGACATTTATTAAGGATAGTCTCTCTAATGGCAGGTTAGACAATTTTAATAAGCATTTTACATATTTTTAAATGATTTAAATCATTTAAATGATTCTTCAGAATTGTGGGTGGCTATATACAGGCTCTGAAAGGCAAAAATGAGCTGATCATCTCAGTTTCTTTAGTGTAGCAGATGTAGAAGAGTAGACAAAATGTCCAATTACACTTAAAGACTAGAATATGCTAGAACAGTTACAGCCTAGTCATTTGTTGTGGCATACCTCATGTTTTTATGTTGGTGGGAAAGTTCATGATACCACGCATCAGCTAAGTATTAAGTACCTACAATGTTTGTTGTAGGGCTAATCATTGCAGAGTAGAGAGAATAACATGGTTCTTATTCTCAGAAAACTTAAGGATGCCCTTTACTGTTCAAAATACAACACGTGTGCAAACATTGGTATATTTACAATGAGGATAATTAAACTGATACAGTATATTTGTGACAACTATAAATAAATTATATCTACTTGAAGAAGTGAGGGATTTTTTAAAAGGCAGAATGTCACAGGAGCAGGGTTTCAAAATGATAATTAGGGACCGGGGGTTTACCTCAGTGCTGCTGCCTGACTCACAACCACAAGGTCCCAAGTTCTATCCCCGGTAACCCCCCCAAAAAAGGATGATTAGACTTTCCACAAGATTCTAGCAGAGATACTTTAGATTATACAAAAGTTTAGTCAGAGATTCTGGTCCCAAGTCAACTAATTTATTTATCAAGTTTCAGATTCAGCTAGATTACTTAATCCTCTGGTCTTCTGTTTTCTCATATGTAATATCAAAATTAAAGTAATAGTTATCATAGACGTTTGGGAGAAGATTAAATGAGATGTTGCAGTATGAACATGCTCTGTGTGTTAGCTTTTTGTCACTATGACAAAATAATTAAGAATAAAAGATTAAAGAAGGAAAGTTTATTTTGGCTTATAATTTCAGAGGTTTCAGTCCATGGTCAGCTGACTCCATTGCTTTTAGGTCTGTGGTGAGGCAGAGAGATCTTGGCAGGAGGCTTCATGGAATAAAGCTGCTCACCCTAAGGTAGACAGGAAGCAGACAGAGGAAAGGACCACAGGCAGAATGTACCCTTCAAAGGCACCGGTGACCTGCTTCCTCCAACCAGTCCCACCTCCTAGAAGTTGTGCTGCTTCCCAGGAGCTCCACAGCTGGCAACCAAACCTCTAGCACCTTGGTCTTTTGGGGACATTGAACTTTGTGAACTATTAAAGTCTTAAGTATTAGTAAATTCTATAGCAAGAATTGAAAAGGGTGTGGGCCACAGGCATGGAATTTCAAAACCAGTGAACTACATACTTTAGAGCAGAAAAATGTGTGGTGACTAAATATTGATTTACCCATATAATTCCTTATTGAGGAAAGTTATCCTAAGTCTTTTTCTTTTTCCCCTTTTAGATGGTCTTGTTTTATAGCTCAGGCTGGCCTTGAACTCGTGATAATCCTCACAGCTTCCTAAATAAGTCTTTTAAGATGTATATTGATCTCTCTCTCCTTAAAACATTAATTTCAGAACACTTAGAGCTTCCAGTAAAAATTGAATGAGTTATAATATTTAGTTACATTGAATTCATATACATAGTATATGTATAATATTCAAGTAAACTACTTTCATAGAGACCATATTACACAAAGATAGCTATGTATTTGTATCTTATGAAATATATTTATCTTACACTCACGATTTATAGTCATTTGTTGTGGCTATTGGAACAGTGTTGGTCTGGAGAACAAATCCATGCTTTTAGGTAGATCAGAATTATTCCTTCAAAAAGAGTAGTGTGTGCATTATGTAAGCTACTTGCATATTACTCTCATGTTACTAGTGCTTTGTGTAGTAAGTGTAGGAACACTATTTAAGACTGGATGTCTCTAGCCAGTATGGTGGTGTGCTGCATGCATGAAATCCCAACACTCAGGAAGCTAAGCCAGGAGAATCACCTCAATTTTGAGACTAGACTGGCCTACATAGTGAGTTCAAGACCAGTCTGAACTACAGAGCAAGGCCCTGTCTCAAAAAACAAAATAAAGCAAAAAGACTAGTGTTCCTTGTCTGATGAGATGCCAAGGAATTCTTTCATGTTCTTTGCCTTACGTAAATTTTATTTTTTAAATATGGTTAGGAGAAATACTCAAAATTTTTAACCAAAATATAGGTGGTTCATCATTGTAATCCAGCTACTTGAGAGGCTAAGTTTGAGCCCAGTCTTGGCAACTAAATAGTAAAATGAAAAATAGAATAAAATAGGGCCAGGGATTTAGCTCAGTGGCACCATACTTACTTAGCAAGCACAAGGTCCTAAATTAAATCCCTGGTACCTAGGGGGAGGGTATAATAAAAAAAGGTTGGGATATAGGTCATTGGTAGACTGTGCTTGCCTTACATGTGGTCCTGAGCTCAGTCCCCAGTACTGGGGGAAAAAATAAATAAATACAAGAAGAGTCTAACACAAACCCCACCCAACTCCCCACTAGGGAGTGAAACCAGAGCCCTCACATTGAACTGTTTCCCTGGCATTTGGTTTTGGTGGTGGGGGTAGTGGGTTTTGTTTGTGTGGCACTGTGGGTTGAACCCAGGGCCTTCACACTGAGCAGTGCCCCTGCCCATTTTTATTTCCTTTATTTTGAGACAGTGTCTCAGTAAGTTACCCAGGCTGGGCTTGAACTTGAGATCTTTGTACCTCAGCCTCTTGAGTAGCTGGGGTTTCAGGTGTGTACTGACATACCCAGCTTGAAAATCATCCTGAATGAGGTATGATTTTGTGCCACTTTATGTTATCTGATGTTGAGTTCTTACTATTTATCTGGATTCCAGTAAGATATGGTTGGACTTTTACTTTTCCTAAGGCAAGAAACTTAGAAAACTGCATATCATTTGAATATTAGTTGTTCTTTTGAAAAAATTGATTGAGACAAAAGAAGAAAAGAAAAATCATGAAGACTGATACAAGAGCCTTTTTATTTTGGTGAATAATTCTAAATTTTCTCTTCTTTTATAGACTACCTTGCTAACCATGGCCGGTTAAATGAGTCTGAAGCTAGGAGAAAATTCTGGCAAATCCTTTCTGCTGTTGATTATTGTCATGGTAGGAAAGTTGTGCATCGTGACCTCAAGGCTGAAAATCTTCTACTGGATAACAACATGAATATCAAAATAGCAGGTAAATGGGGTGGGTCTGAAATGAGCAGATGTGAACCTTTGCCTTAGGTATGTGGAGTCAGCCCTGCAGATTTAGGAGCATTTCTATCTAATGACATCAGGTTTTCTCAAAGTATACTTTATCTGTCTCCTTAGTCTTATGTGTAATTATAAGTGGGGCAATAAATTCGTTATTAATAGACACAGCCAGGCTATAGCTGGGATCAATTTATGTTCAGGTCCCTTGGGCTCTGTTGGAGGAGGTACCTGTGTCTTGAGTGTGAGAGTGATGTCAGGACTGAGAAGAGTGCAAGGTGCTGGCCATCTAATCTCTCTCCTTGTTATGACTGATGACTGCAGTGCAGTTACAAAGCAAAAAGACAGAGTGATGGGAGTAGAAAAATAACCTTGCCTTGCCTTTCCTTGCTTTGATGTAATAGTTTTCATTTCTAGTATAGATAGAGATGAAGAATAACTAAGTTTCTTTACTTACCTAGTTAAAACTCTTCATTCAGTAAGTATGTTATATGTCAGGTATTGTACCATGCTAAGTGCAATATGAAATGTGGAAATCATTTCATAGTGCATATGTGTATCAAATCATCATTTGTACACCTTAAGTATATACAGTGTTTATTTTCCAGTTACACCTTAATAAAATTTAATGAAATTCTTTAATTACCGTAATAAAAGTATGTACAAAACTGAGGATGCAGCTCTATACAAAACAGTATGAGACTTGCTATCATAAAGGTCTGTACAAAACTGAGGTTTAGCTTAGTGGTACAGCACTGGCCTAGCATGAGCAAGGCCCTGGATTTGATCCCCTAGCACCACAAAAAAATGGAGAGGATATAAACTATAGGAGCAACATAGGTGAGGAAACATCAGTCTGCCTGAAGAGTCAGGGACCTGTCACAAAAGAGGAACTATTTCAGTGGAGGCTTTTGCCAGGAATTAAAATAGAAGCAGGATGTTGCAAACAGGTAGATGGAGATTGGAATGGTGGGTACTGTAGCTCAGTATTGGGGAGAGATACAAAATCTGTAGGCTTGGGGGAGTGATAGAAAAGGAACAGGTAGGTAAAGACCAGAATAGGAAAGGTCTTAAAGGCCATGTAAAAGATTTACACTTCATTCTGTAGGTACTGAAAAGCTAACCTATTGAAATTCCAGGTTGTGTATACGGGTAAAGTGGAATTGGGATAACATGATTAATTTTGCATGTTAGCAGTATGTCCCTGGCAGTAAAGCTCAGATGGCTGGGAGCTGTGAGTAGGACTGAAGACAGGAAGATTTATGAAGAATCCAGTGCGGCAGAGTACATGGCAATCTGAACAGAGAAGCAATAGTAGAAGTTGAAAGTGTGGAAGATTTATTTTGGATTGGGTTTGAGGAAGATAGGGCATGGATTAAAAGCTTAGCATAGTTACAAGTGGTGGTGTTTTGTCCTAGTATTGAGAAGAGGAAGGAGACATGCACATGTGAGGAGCTGGCCAAGAAAGTATTGGTTCACTAGCTAGTTTAGATATTCCTTGGACTCAGTAAGTTTAAGAAGAAAGCAGCCTGCTCAGGATTGCTGTATTGTGGTATAAACTGTAAATGAAAGCCTTTGATTTGTGCAATGAACTGATTTGTTTCTCTGCCCTTTTGCATAAGTTTTTGTCTTTGGTATTTAGGGTAAGATAGATAATTTTTATTCATTTTATTTTAAATGCCAGTTGTATATATTTTAGGACACGTAATAGATTTTCTGTTTATAGGATTTTTTTTCTTTTTCCAAATGAACTTATCTGAATAAAGCCAAGTATTTTAAGTTCATTTGTTTATTTTAAAATATAGACATAAAAATTTGTATTAGTTTGTCATATTTTGTTGTGGAAACAACACAGGACCAAGGATTTTAGCTCAGTGGCGCCGTGCCTGCCTTGCAAGTGCAAGGTCATGTGTTTGATCCCCGGTACCAAAAGAAACACCACAATAATAGAATGTTCCCATAGTTTGTGTAATTTTAAACAGACTTCTTTATTAGTACATATTTGCAGTACATAATGATTGCATTCATTGTGGGAAATTGGTACATGTGGTATAACACATCTCAATTCTTTTTCTTCTTCCCTTCCACCACTTTTTTTCTTTCTTACCAGTATCAGGTTTTATTTACTTATTTTATAAGTCTTTATCAAATTAATTAGCATAGGGCTGGGGATTTAGCTCAGTGGTTCTGGTGCCTGCCTCACCAAGTACAAGGGCCTGAGTTTGATCCCTGGTAACAAAAAAAAAAAATTAATTACCATAAACACAGATTAACAGCCAGACTGACAGACCTAAAAACATAAAAAAAAAATTGTACTAAATCAAGTTACACTTTTATTTTATGTATGTATTTTTGGTACAAGGGATCGAACTCAGGACCTTGCCACTTACAAGGCAGGTGTGGTATCACTGAGCTAAATCCCCGGCCCAAATTACACTGGCCATGCTGGATTACTGGATTACAATAACTCTTTACTTTTTTTTTTTTTTTTTTTTTTTTTTTTTTTTTTTTTTTTTTTTTTTATGGGGGTTTTACCTCG